CTATAAGAGGTACCTGCCAAACAAAAAAACAACGTAAAGAAAAGGAGTTAAATTATATGCTAACATGGAGTTTTTTTTTGTTTTTTTTGTCCGAGTTAAAATGAACCGAAGAAATAACTTCACAATTTTTTCATTTTCCTATTTTTAGTGTTGGGCCGTGAAATTTTTGAGCAGTCAAGGACCTTTTATGTATTAAGTCGTGAGGGGTGGGGTCTTTTGGTAAATTAAGTATGGCATTTTTTTAATTGTCTGTTTTTGTGATCAATGTGATTTTTCTGTATTGTTGTGGGTTTGAGACGGTTTTCTGTGAGGCGAATACACTATTTTGATTTTCAGTCATTGTCTCCAAACCATCTTACATGTTCTTCGTATTTTTCTCCGCATTTGCCTTTTATGGCACATATGTCATATTTGCCCAGTGGATTGATTTTTACATTTTTTGTCTTAATAGCTTTCCGATTGTATACATATCTATCTTTAGTGATGTTTTAATGTAAATCTTGACTTCACTGAAATCACAGGGAAATGTCGAAATACAGAAAGGCATCTGACAGATCAAAACAGCGATGAAAGACAAAATGATTAGTATAGACAAAAGTGGCGTTTCTGGGACAAATGGAAAGACTGTGTATAGTAAAGTTGGATACAAAGTACTAGGGCCATAGGATGGATTTTAAATTGGAGTGGATAGCATCTTTGGAGGTACCAATGCTAGGTTGCATCCCACAGCTTAACTTCGTACATCCAAATCTGTTGTAATAGTGATTTTCAGTTTTCATCGGATGTTGTCAACTTTTAGATTATATCGAGTGGGGGGATTCGATGTAAAGTTTGTAAATTTCCAAATAGCAGAAGATATTGCTTGTTGGAAAAGAAAAAGAGAGTTGTATATTAGTACATAACTGCTGGATTTTTTTTAAAGTCCGATCCTCCTTTTTTGTCCTTTTTTGAACTATTGTTTCAAACAGTCCTAGAGGTTTCTGAAGGCCACTACTGGGACTGGGTTTGCCGAGAGGATGGCAGAATCGTCTGTATATGGCTGCAAGCAATAGTGAATAGAGAATGGGACCAAAGACTTTGCAGAACACCTTCTTCCGTATAGTGGAATTGAAAGTACGGATATGATTTTAGGATGAAGTAGTAAGTGATAGACCTATGGCTGTGAGTTTCCAGAGCAAGCTCGGGTATTACGTTCGATTTCTGAATAATTATCGATTAACGGTCACTAATCACCACACTGTTCGATTGAAGGCTTGTCTAATGTCTAGGAAAGCAACCGAGCAGCATTCCTTTCCCTCAAGGTAGGATGCGATGATATCTGAACCCGAAATGAAGTGATGGAATGACATTAGCGTCTTTAAGGATCTTTCAAGAATTGTGCAAAGTATTGGCAGCAAGTGTTTGAGGCGATTTGACGTTGGGAGATATTGACATTTGGACGTTTTTATGATTGATAATTTCCATTGGATTGGAAAGTAGGGCATTTTAAGTACTGTGTTGTAACTTGAAAGATTCTAAGGAAAATTACACATTTTTTGAAGGATGTGATGCTTGTGGTCTCAAAGTCAAAACCTGGGGATTTTTTTACTGGGAGGAGGGAGAATGAATTTGAGTGAACGGTCCAGGGGAAAGAGAGAGTGAGCGGAAAGAGCAGTCTACTTCCTCATGAATGTAAAATTTTTGGATTAAATATAGAATTTTTTTAACAACTTCAATAGCTGATTACTTCAAGACTAGAAGTCATTTCTGTCAACACATGGATATTTTCGAGAAAGCTGCCATTCATAAAATTTTAGTGTTTTTAGAAAAATGTCATGGCTTCCCTAGTTATAAAATCATTTAAGAGCTCGGCTATAAAATCCGCGCTTAAGGATTTTTTTTCTCTCCCCCAGCTTAAATAGAAGATAGACCGCGAGGCAATTTTGCCCGCTTTGCATAATATAATTAATGGCGATATCATGAATAATTTAAACACGAGATTAGTCGAAAAAACTCGAACCTTTAATTTCTAGGGCAATTTAGATCACTGCCGTCGGCCGGCGATAATATTTGGTTTTATAATTCTCGAATTTCCTGCCAATCCTTTCTCCCCATGGTTCACAAAAGTCGCCGCTTGTAGAGTTAGATAAGATCGTATCCTAGATTTATGCTTCTTACACACAGACCGGATCTCACGATAAAACTGGACGGATTTTTGAGGAATCGAGTCTTCCACTATGTGTAAGTCAGCCATGTCGTGTTTTGACCTTTAGTGTATGTTTGTGTTATACAAGTTTCAATTTCCCAATTTCAAAAAGTTGGCAGGTTTTCATGAACCTATGGAAGAAAAACGTACTATACTTAACTCACTGGTGACAAGACGTGGTTTTTTAAAACAAGAAGCCACCTGATAAGTTGATTCACTCTGTAAACTTTTTTCACCTTTTCGCATTTTTGAAATATTTTTGGTATAGGACTAGTATATTTTTTCTTTTGTTAGGATCATTTTGGAACTTCGAAATATTCAATATTCGACTACCAAGACGAGGTAACTGCAAAGTTATACTATATTTTTGTGACTTACGACAAAAAATTTGAAAAATCTGGGTCCAACAAATTATTATTGTATAATTATTGTTGTTATTGGAACTTCTTATTCTCCTTTTCTTTTTTTTGTGTGGGAAAATTGCAATTTATATGTAATTTGTTTCCCATAATGAGATACTTTTTGTTATTGGGTCTTTTTATACTAACATTGGAAATCGAATCGGTTTATATAAGGCGAAAATGTAGGATTAAAATATGGTATATAATTAATAATCTAATTGCAATTGTACTTTGATAATAGAAGTGTAGCGGGACTTTGCCATAAGAAATGAAACGAAAAATCAAATTTATTCTGGGACTTAAAGTCCCCTTAATGCATTAATTACAACATTAACATATTTACAGAAATTAGATAAGCCTGTACAAAGATGTACATTTACGATTAAAAAATCGTGTTTTGTGCAGCGAAAACATGCGGATCCAAATATGATAAGTAATTGATAATCAAATTGTAATTATGTCTTGATTAGACAAGTGTTCACAGATTTTCCCATATGCATTGAATTGAAAAATAAACTTCATTCTGGTACTTAATGCGTTCTTGTATAATTAAGTACGCGTTAATCGTACCGATATAATCAGGGATCAGTAAAGAACGAATTATGTAATTTTAATTCCATATTTAGTCGATTTTTTTATGGGACTTTATATTCAAGTTGAAAATTTAAGTGGAACGATAAGCTGCGAAAATAGGCGGGAACCCGAGACAACGGCAATAAAGCATTTTGTAAGCTCAATTTTACATGTTTTTGATTATAGTATAGAATTTATAGACTGTTAAAATATTTCTACCAGTTTAGCAAGTCGTTGATGATTCATGGAATTTTTATATTGTAAAACCAATTTCATTACGTAAAAAAAAAATTTACGATCATCCTCTGGTTATATACTTTGTTTTATTATAACATTTCTCAGTGGTTAAACGAATCTGTTTATTTAAAATTATGCAAGATCTAATCTGGTTTTAAATGTTTTTATATCGGCCTATAAATTGTTATAATAAAGTGAATTAATATGAATCCCTTTTAAATATATTACGGTGAAAAATACGCTCAATTTGTTTGAACATATCGATGTGGGTCCGCCTATTCTTGCTTTTTGATAGGTCCTGACCCCGATGTACGACATGTAGTTTTAAAAGCGCCCGGGCTGGTATAAGTTATAGGTTTAAGCCGGAAGATTCCGTTTGGTGAGGCGCTAAAAGGCCGGATGAAATATTAGGCGACGTGTAGAAGGCAAATTTACATTCCCGGGAGCGACGTAGGTGTTTACAGATGTTTACAAACTCGTCCCCTTTTCCCGTTGAAAGAAGAAAACTGTATCATGAGTCGCAGGTTGATTTGACAGGCGGAATCTACTCACCCTGAGATCACAACTTGCGGCCTACGGGACACGGACTAACATAAAGGGAAGGAAAAGGAAAATGCTCGGGGAATACAAAGCAGAACCATGCTCAAAGTTCCCGCAAACCACTCAACAACTTCTGCTTGAAAAAGGGATGACTTTCCGCAACACTCATATTGGTTTCTATTTCCAGAACTAAGCAGATCGTAGAGAAAATTAAGAAAAATGACTATTTTTTGTCCTCAAAATTGTTCCCCACCCATTCGAAAAGTCAACTAAAAATAAGAAAGAGACTCAAAGTCCGCTTCCCCTTATGTTTTGGTATAATGAACGTCAGCATTATTCATATTGAAAGCCATTGAATGTAATTCGGTGCAATGCTTTTTAAATTATTCTGTTATCCTAGTTCATGTTTTCGTCAATAATTAATAACTATTTGTATGTAAAAACATATTGCGTTTCGTCGACTTCGTGCATAGCATAGGAAACGTTCCACATATGTAAACGCAGTCAATTCACAACCTGAACTGCGTACCAATGATACCTTGATTGATAACGCTTCTAACGAACTTCTTATAAACTTTGGTATGTTACACATGCATACTGGCATCGCAAATACTTATTCTTCCCATTTCGCAGCATAAACCAATTTATCTATGTCTGATCGTTTTCTAAGTAGTCTCCCTTTAATATTTATCGATTTACTCATAAAGATTTCTCCTACCAATCCAATAGGTATGACTATCTACTATTCCATTTGTGCTTCTTTATAGCTTTATAAATTATATTTCTATTTAACGACTTTCCTACGAAAAGGAATTAAACAAAATAAAGTAAAAGTTCATAAAGACTCCCAAAACAATTCGATGGAGAATAAACATTTCGGGTATAAAGAAATAACATAAAAGCTATTCTAACCCATTCTTTGAAATGGAAAAGGATTATGTATGCTACACATAATAAACTAATGCTTATAGGCACCTTATCAAAACTGGCAAACCATCTGCTATTGTTAAACAGGGTAAACGTAGGGGACTAATTGCGGTATGTACCAGTCACTGGCATCAGAGAAAACACCTACACAACTGGTTTGCCATTTTTCAACGGCTTGCCTTATGTGTTCATTCCATCCTTGTCAAGGGGAGTGCTAAACTTCTCTCCTTTCTTACAACACAACACCTACACAACATAGCTACAGTCAATTATGAACCCCATTTGTAGGTTTTGAAATGAGGAGCCACCCATATTATCGTAGAGTTTGAAGCAACCTCCCCAAGAAGTACCAAGAAGACCCAAGAAAATGAATTGCATCAATGCCCGACAATGACTTTCTACTTCTTAAGCGGAGGGCAGATTCAATTGAATTAATCTAAGGAAGGCTTAGAAGTACTATGGAGGTAATAATATCATATCCAAAAGATTTTCTGCTAGATTTTTATATATCTAGTAGTTAGCCAGGAGAAAAGGGTATACTACCACATGTTTATGTACTAATTTTTATCTATCATTTATCAGTGTTGACTCACAAAGCTTTAATACGGTCTGGCCATCCACCTCTTATCTTACCCTGGAACCTTATTTGCCTGGCCGCTGCTTCAGTGAAGTGCAGCAACGAATATTTACACCATCTTGGATACCATTATCCGCTTGACTTTCCTATACATCCCAACACCACTATGCGGCTGATACCACAATTCTGTATTCCCATTCAAGCAACCTCCAACATCCAAGAACACTTTGGGCTTATCAAAGACGAACAAAAAGGGGAAAACAAGACTTGATAAGGAAAAATGTACCCAGTGTCAGTCCACAACAGTTCACTGTACATCACCAACAAGGAACTACCAACTTGCACTCAAGTTACGATATTTAGGGTTATACCTACACGACTGACAAACCTTGAATCCCCAAAGAAGATGTAACAGACAACAATTTAACGTAAGACTTGGAAAACTACGAAAGCTTTTATAACCAAACGAGAGCATTCTACCTTTCAATCAAAATTCCACTATCGGCAATGAACTGATCCGAACTCTCTTGCTAAACGTCCACCTGGGATCCTGCCATGTCGCCTTGAACGACGATGGCCTCGAGACCCCCATCATCTTCTTAATCACTCATATTGACTACAAGCATTGGCTAGTTTCTCTTACGATGTGCCCTCCATGTGGGATGCTGAGTGTAATGTTAGTATATTGTGAGAAAAATCATATTCTCACATATTTTTATATGTATAGCCTATGCTTTTATAACTACTTACCCAGCTGTAAGTAATTAGCACTCAAATTCGTCTTTCTTTGACGATTCGAATCAATCATTTTATTTGCTTGCATATTAAATTATCTAACTATGTAATAGCTATATGTATGTACATACGCACCATGAAGTACTGCAATATTTAACAGTCTATGACGAACGTAAATGGAATTTTGTTTGCAAGTAGAGAGGATATTCAGGTCAGTGGACAATTTTCAATATCAGTGATGATAAAATGGTTAACAAGCATATATCCGACCAACCAAAAACCACAATACTTAAAAAATAGACAATTGGATACCAGGTCGGGAGATGATAGAACAGCTAGAGAAACACGGCTTTTTCAACAGTTTAATGCCCTTTAAATGATGATCGGTTTGCGGGAGATTCGTGGGGCACCCCAGGGGAAACCGGCTGTAAAAAGGGCCAGAATTTTCGTGAAAAAGCCCATTAGTCAATTCGCTCTGCTTACGACGATTTCACAAATCGTTGCCGGTTTTTTTCCATCCGCTGGTCGAAACCGGCGAGCCGTGAAGCGGAGTCGTCCACCCTGGAAACAATTAGCCGAAGACAACCGGAATAATTGGCTTCCTTTTGTCCATCACCTAGTTACTAAAATATAGAGATGATCGACTTAATCAAAATCTTTGCACCGCCAGAACTTTAAGCAAGTTTACCAATTCTGGTAGGTTGTGACATTAAGTGAGGAATTGTGATGTCAAGGTACGGAATACCAACCAACTATGAACGTTCCTTTTGAGTTATATACTTGTTATAGGATTATTTTCTGCCGTAACAAACTAATTTTTTTCCTTTTGAAACTTCTCAAGATTAATTCACACCTGGACCGAAATAAAACCGGGAACATTCATTCAGTTGTTAATTAAAAATTTAAAAAATAATAGGATTTGACGTTATGAGTTTCCTTAATGATTTTGTATTGTTTACTATTTTTGAAATGGTAATTTTAACAACAATAACCTGTGCTGTTACAGTACATTTTAAGCACGTGCTAAAGTTAAGTAATTCGGAACAATCAACAAAGTTTTGAATTATTCTATTAGCTACTTCCAAGCAGTACAGAGCTTTTATGCTATAATCAAATTATAATTGAATAGATTTAATTAAGTTTTAAAGGGTTAAACGTAGACATATAAATTTATAACTTTCTAACTTTTGTCAGAATAAGAAGCGGGAATTGATGAACCAGGAACATATTTAAAATTCACTACGTCTTGAGGGGTGTTAACAACAATGGTCTCCCAACTTTTCACAAGGTTTACTCCTTGGCGAGAAGGTCTCGGGGCAATTTTCGATTTAGTCGTCTGACGGTAGTATAGGGTTTGATTATGTTGTTCATGGTTTGGGCTAGTGTGATGGGTGAGTGGAAACTTGAAAATTTGGTGGGTATTAATTTAATAACAAACTGTATATTGAGGTCGTTCTGGCAGGTGGTATTGGAGACATAGTAGGGAGCGTGGACAATGATTCTGTGGATGTTGGATTGGAAGGACTGAATTCATGATTGGCTTTTTAATTAACAACTGAATGAATGTTCCCGGTTTTATTTCGGTCCAGGTGTGAATTAATCTTGAGAAGTTTCAAAAGGAAAAAAATTAGTTTGTTACGGCAGAAAATAATCCTATAACAAGTATATAACTCAAAAGGAACGTTCATAGTTGGTTGGTATTCCGTACCTTGACATCACAATTCCTCACTTAAAGTACCCAATCGTTCCAATCAAAAGTCCTCAGACAAATCTTCAAAGCTCCTTACTAGTCACTATCGTTTCCCAATTGCAAAAGTTTCTCACCAACCTCTCTACCCATCCTAACCCTACTGAAAGAGCCCTCTCTACACATTTCCATCCCAAGAACCCCCCACGTCGCTTTAATCGACGATGACCTCAAGACGTCCTTGCCCTTTAATGCCAAAGCACATTTACATTTTTACGTTTATTTAGTGTTTGATTTTTGAAGTTTGACTTGTTATTCGATGTTATGATATCGTTAATTCTTCTTTTAATTGTGGTTAGATTTCAAATTTAACACAAAAAAATTCTTCTCAAGACAGGGAAGTTTTTAAAAAATGTCTTATGGGTTTTGTTGGTGAAACTCTCAATTTGTCTCGGCCTGTTATAACGTGTTCTTTTGAACGGGCCAAGCCCCCTTTCTTCTTCCACATCCTTGCCTGAAGGACTCCCAGAATCGGAACTCTCCCCCATTCGCCCTTTTGTTATTTTTCATGGTCGAGAGGACCTAGGTTTTCGCCTTAAAAGGCAAATCGATGGGTGGAAATGGGAAAGGTATTTCACTCAACCCCAGAGGACGTAATTATCAGCCAAAACAAAAGTAAACAATACAACTGTAAAAAAAGGTGGATGTTGAGCATAGTTCTATCACGCCTGAGAAATTACGAAAGGATGATGGTGTGGCTTTAAAACAACTTGTAGATGGGATGATGATAATTATGATGGTATGAAGCATAATACTAGTAAGAGGGTTTATATTCCCCAAGTAGTACGGCCTTTTGATTATTGTACTTTTCTTAGTTCCTTTGCTAAGCTTTAATTGACTCTATGCTGTTCTTATAAGCAGAAAACTATTTATTGTCATTGCTGCACTTATTTATCTTGGGTTTTATTATACCCTAGGTTATTCTATATTGAAAGGTTGCTTCAAACTCGACGATAATATAGTGGCAGTCTTCATCCTCATTTCAAAACCTACAAATGTGGTCATTGAATATACCCATATTGTGGAGGTGTTTTGTCAGATGTCAGTGACCTATAACTCCCTGAGTTCTACCCTCTCTAGCTATAGCAATGTTTTTTCCAGTTTCGGTCAGTTTCTTTAATTATCATGATTCATGAGTGGTGTGTACATTCTGGTGTTCGTCCACTCACCCTTTGTTGTTTGCAGACCCATTCAGAGATAGAGGAGTTTATGTTTAATGTGTAGTGATTAGTCACCGTCAATCGATAATTATTCAGAAATCGTGAGATGAGGTCTGGTGTGATGTAGGTTTCAAAATAACATTTTCTTTATCGTGCCAACGTTTCGATCATTATTGAGATCATCTTCAGGGCCTGGGATTTACAAACATTGTTTATATTTAACAAATACATGTAGGATGTGGAAAAAGTGAATTTATACAATGCAAAATATATTTATCTATTTAGTTAGTAGTATCTATTTAGTAGTTGATAATTTTAGTTATCAACAGAGATAAACACAGCATCAATTACATAACAGTTACATGTAAACTCAGTCGCAGCTACGCCAATATCATTAATCAAATTCAATATAGATAACATACATATAACATCACATCACATTCCACACATCAAACATTTTTCACATAATTCACTATTTTTCGTGGTCCGCTTGACCAATTAATAACATTTTAAAAATGGCAAAAAGGTGGGAAAATTCAAAAGATGGGGTTGATATGGGACGTTAGTGCCCGAGGGGATCGAAATCACGATAGTGGTAGAGTAGCGGCGTATCAAGTCGGAGGTCGTGGGTTCGAATACCGCTCGTGACACTGACTTTTTTATCTCAACTTAAAAACCTTAATTAATTGATTTTTTCACATAGTATAATTTTTCAACAATTTAGCTTTCCTTTTCCTATTTATCCTGAAAGGATAATCTGGTCGAACCATTACCAACGTTTTTTCCCTTCGTCGGCCCTTTTCACCTCAACGAAGCCTTATGTCTTTTCTATACTGACTTCCTTACAATACAGCAATATCTCACTGGCACTCTCAACACGACACGCAAGAATGACACGATTACACAGAAGACAAACACTTTGATTGAATATATAAAAAATATATTTTGTTGTATAAATTCACTTTTTTCCACATCCTACATGTATTTGTTAAATGTAAACAATGTTTGTAAATCCCAGGCCC